CTTTTAAATTCGGTCGATTATTTCCCGAAAAATTAGAAAAATTAGAAAAATCGGTTTCCAGAAAATCGGTAACGAAAAACTATACACTTTATGGCACTCCCCGGGAAATTCTACCCCTATTTCATGTACCCTTGATAAAAATTCGGTCCACTAACGAATGAGTAGTTCGCGGTCAGACAGACAGACGTCCGGTACTTATATATATAGATATATATACACACACACACACACACACACACACACACACACACATATATATATATATGTATATATGTACACACACATTAACACTTATTTAAATATAAAAATATAGATTTAATAAATCCATATTTTTATTTAAATATAAAAATATGGATTTAATAATTATTATTTAATAAAAAATTTATAGTAATATATTTATTGCAAAATTAATATTTGATAATTTAGGTTTCTATTAATTGATATATTTTAATGTATAAATTAAAAATTATTTGGTAGATATCCTCATTAGCAAGTTTTGGAACTAAGAGAGAAAAAGAAATTAATTCTTCCATGTGCCGATGCCGTTGGTTTTTGGGAGCAGTCGATCGGTGCAGAGGTCGCAAAGAAAGAGAGAACAGTGAAAAAACACTTTTCGAAGTAGTGTGTGAATATCACAGACTTTATCGCGTGTGATGTGTGCCCGCCGTTTTAAGATGTCTGTAAGTGTGTTACTTTTTCACGCACGAATAGATGTTTGATTATATTAGCGTGTGTGACTTGTCAAACAGCTGGAGATGTGTAACTTAATTATATGATTTTTAATGCGCCTATAATAAATGTGAAAAAGGGTCGCAGCCACTTTTATACACATACACTCTTAGAAGTAGTATGTGAATATCACACACTTTATCGCGCGTGATGTGTGTCCGCCGTTTTAAGACGTCTGTAAGTGTGTTATTTTTTCACGCACGAATAGATGTTTGATTGTCAGCGTGTGTGACTTGTCAAACAGCTGGAGATGTGTAACTTAATTATGTGTTTGATTTTTAAGGCGCCTATAAATGTGTGAAAAAGGTTTGCAGCCACTTTTATGGACGTGCATATGAAGGCACTTTTTATACGTTTCTTGCCGTACATCGTACGTGATTTTAAATCACGTATATCACGTTATATAATGCGATTATAAACGGCACGTGTAAAAAATGCTTTTACCAAATTGCATATATGCGTGTATAAAAGTAACATCTTAGATTTAGAATATGATGACACACAATGAGATATGATATTATTAAAGTAATAGAAGTTTGGTTTATTAAAGTATGCAATGAAATTTGTAAGTATATTTAATATACATTAAATAAAAGGTAAACATGAAAGATAAAATATAAACTGTCTAAAAGATCTCACATGTTTTTTTCCAGACTAAATCAAGAATTTCTTAAACTTAATTATACTTAACTACTACTACTATTACAATATACTACTACTTACTACTTTAATAACACTTAAAAGTAATACACTGAGAATAGTTATTTGTGTAACAAGTGCGGGAAGTTGAAAATTGGACACGAGTGTAGAGTGGACGCACGAGCCGAAGGCGAGGATGTATATAGGTATATATTATCCTTGCCTTAAATTAAAAATTTTTATTTTTAAATATCAGCTAATTCATTAAAACTTCAACGATCCATTGATGAATACGGAAAGATTAGATACAATCTGAAAGTAAGGTGTTGTTAAATAATAATTTGAAACTTATTGAAAAGCCGTGATTTACTTATTGATTTTGAATAGGCGTGAAAACAACTGATTTCAAGTAGCCGTGAAAACAACTGATTTTTTTTAAAAATAATGTAATCGTATTTACAAATATTAAAAAAATTGAAAAAAATAAAAAAAAATTAAAATTAAAAAAATTAAAAATATTTAAAAATAAAAATTTTTAATAAGAAATAATTAAGAAAGAGGGATGCCAAGCGGATTCTAAATTACGATTTTTGAACATAAAAGTGGCTATAACTCAGAAACGGCTCATTTCCGGACCTATGTTTGTATGAACTTTTTTGCTTGTTTTTGGGTCTCGAATCACCTCCCGAAGTGGAGTAGGCGATTTTTTGGACACCCTGTATATATATATATATACACCCATGTGGGAAATAGCTACTGAATTAGAATGTAGTAACATAATATCCAACACATGATACATATAACATATATCATGTGTTGGATATTATGTTACTACATTCTAATAAAGTATATACATTTATCGATTTAGATCCTCTATCCACTCTTCGTTAATAGCTGATATAATTTTGTTGTTGTCCATCATTGTAATATGATTACCTTCCACATAATGAATTTGCACTTTACCTTCGGTAACCTAAAAATAAATTATATTTTTGTTATAAAAACTTATTATTTTTAAAAATTTATAGTCTTATTTGAAAAATATCTATCCAAATTAGATATTTATTTACCTTATGTAGACCATAATCCTCTTCAGTAACAGAGACAATCGGAAATGTAGGTTTTAGCAATGTTATAGGTGATTTAAGGCGAGGTAATGAAGAAATATCATAATTCTGTATAGCGACTATATGATTGTAAACTGTGAAATACATAAGTTTTTGATTTTCGGTCGTCAATACATTTACCTCGTTCGGGAAGTAAGAATGAAATAGTTTTAATTTTTCTTCCCATGTATTACATTTATTCAACTCTAACGTAAGCTGTAAAGAAAATTTTGTGTGATTAATATTAGTAAATATACCAAAATAACATTTGCCGTTCCATTAGTAATATAATGAAAGATTTGACGTATTTATTATTATTAATCATACAATCTTATTAATCATTTATTGTGCTTTATATCTAAAACTATTATTATTATTTAATTTTAACACATACCTACATATATATACATGCAAATATGGAAAACATTTTGTTTTATTATTTTAAAATTTAAATACAAATTCCCGAGAAATATTCATGTTACAATAAGTTATTTTTTATGCATATATTGTTATTTTATTTAAATTTATATAAGATTACAATTACATAAATAATTTTTACAGTAAAAAATTAAAATGTTTTTAATAATTTACTAACCGTTTTCTTGTTAATTGTAGTGTACATTTCCAATAAACCAAGTAAGATTATGTTTTGTAACTCTTCTGGCGAAGTACTGTCCAAATATTGATTAGTCCAACATTTCATTTGGTCAGGAGCTCCATCTATTAGTATTAGTTGTCCTGAGAAATCATTAGCTTCTAATAATCTTGCTAATTCGATGGCAATTAAGGATCCGAACGAATAACCCACTATTAGAAATTCCCTTTGATCTTTTATTTTCTTTAATAAGTGCTAAGAAAATAAATATAAATGTATATGTAAGCTATAATAATATAAAAGACTTGTAATTGTTAGATATTACTTATATATATATGTATAAATTTATTTAAGAATAATTAAAATAAATATTTTATAAGTAACGTTAATCTTCTTACAGGCAGCAAATAAGCGGCTGACTTTATCACTGAATGACTTTCGTCAGGAATATTAAGTAGACCATGTTGCAAACACGTTGCCGAAGATTTGATTTCTGATGCTATAGACTTATATACACTTGAATGTCCTTCGATTCCTGGTAAGAGAAAAACATTGTTCCTACCAATCTCCTTTTTTGTAGCAAGTTCTACAAGAATATCTGGAACAAAATCTGAATCCTTCATTCTTCGAAACAGCATGTTAAAATCTTTATTAATTTTGTTTGTATTATGTGTCTTTCCATGCTCGGTTGTAATTGTCATTTGTCTAAGTTTAGCAAAATTTAGTGTTCTAATGTCTTGCGCTGTCAAGGAAATATCAAATTCTCTTTCCAATGTTTGCTTAATTTCTACTGCCATCATCGAATCCATACCCATTTCGGCCAGTGGCATATTGGGTGGCACTGCGTTTATGTTCTTCAATCCTATTTTGATATAAAAATAAGAATTATATAATTAAATCAATTTTATATTACTCTATTTGATCTCCTGAAATAAAATTGTTACATTTTTTATATATTTATGCACTATTTCAATACAGATGCTTTAAGGGGGTAGTACACTCCGGCGGAAGATCAATTTCAGGATTTATTTGTGACAAAGTGGTAGGCCAATCAGGTTCATGGTGTATACGATATTGAAGTACATGTTTAGGTGCATTTACAGTATTTTTTATATGGACAAATATTAAGAAATGTAGGAGTTATGAGTCATCTCTTTGCGCGCGCGCGCGCTCGACTACGGTGTACGTAGTAGCTCCTGTAAAGTTATAGCACTTAACAATTTTGTGCCAATGAACTTCTTTTTGTTAAGTGCTATAACTTTCACAATTTTTAACATTTTTACAATTTTTGAACGTCAACATGTGGGGAATACATTTAAATTTAATACCCTTTTTGCGTTGTTCCTTTCAGGCACGCCGTACAGGAGCTACTACGTACACCGTAGTCGAGCGCGCGCGAAGAGATGACTCATAACTCCTACATTTCTTAATATTTGTCCATATAAAAAATACTGTAAATGCACCTAAACATGTACTTAAATATTGTATACACCATGAACCTGATTGGCCTACTACTTTGTCACAAATAAATCCTGAAGTTGACCCTTCGCCAGAGTGTACTACCCCCTTAATTGTGAACATTTTTAATTATTTCTTAATTAGTAGAGGAAAGTCCCCTATTATGAGATAGGCTCCTAATATGCGATAGCGAGGTTTCTGCTAAACTAATAGGTTCTATCTGTTGGTTCCATCATGAACTTATTGCCCTTAGAGTAAAACCTATTTAGTGGAAAATTCATTATTTGATCGTGCGTGCACTTGCCTATTACATTTTTCAATTTTGCACATAAACTTTCGGCAATCACGCAAAATAGATGTGGTATCTTATAATAGGGGACTTTCCTCTACACATTATTATGTATTTTATTAAAAATTTTTTAAATTATTAGCTTTCTATAGAAGTTTTCTATATAATGTTGTCAGACGTTAAAAAAATTTTGAAAAGATATAAGAGATATAAGCGAAAAAAAGTTTAATTTATAGTCTTCAAGCAATGAAGGAGCGAAACTAACGAACACAGTGACAATCTGTAGGTTTATGTCATTAAAAAAAGATTTTTGACAAATAAGTGGTTATATATTGGGTGTACAACTTAGTTCAGTCCGTTTTCAAAAGATGGCTGTAGCAGTAAGTGGTGGTCGAAATAAATAGATCGTAGACGTCATACAATAAGCTTAGACATTTGTAAACATAACGTCATCGAAATATTAGTCGATTTGTGTCTGCATCATAAAGTTATTCTCGATTGAAAATGTCAGCTTACGAGCCAAATTCTCGTCATTTGCGGGAGGTTTTAACTTTCTGCTTCAATATAAAGAAATCTGTGGCTGAGGCTCTTCGAATGCTCTCAAATACGGTGAGGCCGCTATTAGTGAAAGAACGTGCCGAGAGTGGTTTCAACGCTTCAAGATCGAACGGTGATTTTGACGTCGAAGACCGGCATGGCGGCGGAAGAGAGAAGGTTTTCGAAGATGCAGAATTGAAGGCATTATTTGATCAAGACTCGTGTCGAACGCAAGAAGAATTGGGAGTGACTCAACAAGCCATTTCAACAACGATAGACACGATAAAGTGATTTTGCAGCATGACAATGCTCGACTCCATGTCGCAAAGCCCGTCAAAACATATTTGGAAACGTTGAAATGGGAAGTCTTACCCTACCCGCTGTATTCACCAGACATTGCTCCCTCTGATTACCATTTATTTCGATCGATGGTGCACGGCCTGTCTGAGCAGCACTTCACATCATATGAGGATATCAAAAATTGGGTCGATTTGTGAATAGCCTCAAAGGATGAAGCGTTCTTCCGACGCGGTATCCATATACTGCCAGAAAGATGGGAAAAAGTAGTGGCTAGCAATAGACAATACTTTGAATAAAACCGTACGTACCGTTCTTTCACAATAAATGTGCGTTTTTCAAGCAAAAAAACGGACCGAATTAAGTTGTACACCCAATATAAAAATGTATTTTTCTTTAATCAACTACGTTTCCATTAATAAAAATGCTTTGACAGTAGAAGCTTAAATAAGTTATCAGTTTATTGAAAAATTTAATTTTTTTGTTTTTTCCAGAAAGCTTGAAGCAACAAATTCTCCAGGAAAATTGTTTTAAATCATTTTTGTAATAATGTAAGAATAATAAAATTAGAATTTTTTATTAAAAAGAGTTTTCTTGTATCGTATATTTTTAAAATAATTGTAGAATTAATGTAACTATTAAAAAGTGTAACAATTTTTATAGACTTTAAATTTGTTTAAAAAATGTTTACTGTGTTCATCATTGTCTACGTTTACACGGTCCGATTTACGTCAATGTTATAACTACTGCCGTTAAACGCCGTGTAAACGCTTTTTTACAACGAAATTATTACATCGATGTAGTAACTAGTCAGTACTCGGGTAGAATTTTGTCGAGGCGTGCCCCAAGTCTGTAAAGGGCCTAAACAGGCATGCCCTAAAATAGGATCGCCAATATTGGGGCTAGATAGGCATGTCGTAAAATAGGCATACCATTGTCGGGCCTAGAAAGGGACTAGAAAGGCAAATTCTGGATAGAATAACCTAAATAGGCTCAGAATAGGCACTAACATGGATGCCACAATCAAGGTCTGCTAACGTTGAACCTAGAAAGGGAATAGAAAGGCAAATTCTGGATAGAATTTCCTTAATAGGCCCAGAATAGGCACTGACATGGATGCCTGCACTATCAAGGTCTGCAAACGTTGGGCCTAGAAAGGGACTAGAAAGGCAAATTCTGGATAAAATTTCCTTAATGGGCCTAGAATAGGCACTGGCATGGATGCCACAATCAAGGTCTGCTAACGTTGGGCCTAGATTGGTATGCCCTAAAATAGGTCTACCATTGTTGGGCCTAGAAAGGGCCTAAAAAGGAATTTTCTAAACAGGCACTAACATGAAAGCCTACCATTGTTGCCGTGAAATTATAAGTTTTACAATCTTTTTACATAAAATTCATTTCTTTTATTATCATGAAATAATTCATTGATTTAATTATTATGTTTCTTAAGATGATTTTTAAAAAATTATATATTTGCGCTGGTTACGACATATGTAGACTATATATAACACTTACATCAAATTAAAAAGTAGTCTACCACGTAAGGCAGTTGGCTCATGATCCAGAGGTCCCGAGTTCGAATCCCACCAAGGTAAAGTGTTGTTTTTCAAATACGAAAAAATATTTATAATTATAGACTGCATCTTAAGAAACAAATTTAGTTATAAAATAGTAATAAAATTTCGAAAAAAAAATTTTTTTTTATGTAAATATCATATAAGGATTACTGGGAAGTTGGGCATGTTTGGATAGGGCCTAGTTAGGCGTGCTAGAATAGAGCCTAGTCAGATATACAAATCTGGCTCTGACTTACACAAGCGTTACATCTCTGTGCAGGTCCTAACCAGGCTTCCTTGATAGGGCCTAGACAGAAATGGGGAAAAACTGTCTACAGCCTTTACAGGCCCCCTTTTAAAGTTCTACCCGGGTAGTTATATGTTATAACTGCGGCGTAAATCGGGCCTATAATAAAGTCAGTTAAACGCACTAGTACTCCTAGCACTGGTGTATATTAAAGCCGTTATACTGATTTAATCTAAAAATGAAGTACAAATATCTTGACTTATAAAATGCCTAATACATATTTTATAAAATATAGCTAATAGTACAATAAAGAATATGGAGAATTTTGTGATTTAATCCGTCTATATATTTATATTGAATATGTTTGAGTAAAAGGGCAAGCGTCATTTTTACTTTTTTTTTCTTTTAACTTTAATTTTTTTTTCCTTTTTCCAGATATCTCACCTCATTGCTGACTAGATTTTAGGAAGAAACAACTCTTATTTTTTCTAAATACTAATTGCAATTTAAATTTTAATTAAAACCTAAGTTATATAATAAATTTAAATAAGGAAAGCGCGTAGGGCTTTTTAAAATTTAAAAAGTTAAGTCTATTGCAATTGTGACAAATAGTTTCTCAAAACAATATAAGTATTCCTGTAAATTCAATTTTAATATTTTTTTTTATACTTCTTATTCGAATATAACTGTACTTGAAATAACATTTTGATTTTACTTCTCTTACATGGCATTATATTTAGTTTTCTTTATTGCTTAGCTTTGTATAAAATTGCTTACCCATGATATGAGCAACCGTTTCAGAAATATTCATTGATCCGCCAATTTTTGCTTTTTCAGCAACAACCATACTGCTTACGACAGGGCGGTCTTGTAGTAGGAATGTTTCTAATGTATCCAAACAGGAAGATATTCGTTGTTGCAATGTACCTCCAATAACCAATTCCTTATTTTCTTCTTGCATATCTGCCACGAGTCCGACATCACCAACAGCACCCCATTGTATCGCTAAACCGTGTAATCCTTCTTCCATCCTCTTCTCACAGATTCTCTCCATTACGGAATTAGCCATTCCATAATTCGTTTGGCCTGCGTTTCCTCTTCCACATGAGACGGAGGAAAAAACGACAAAATGTCGAAGTTGTGGACATATCCTTCTCGACAATTCATCCATTTTCTTCGTCATCCATGCTTTTGATTTGAATGAATCCTCGAACATTTGTGGTAATTGATTTTGGAACGTACAATCTTTTAAAACAACTGCAAGATTAAATATAGCGTCCACTGGTGCTTTTTTCTCAGCAAATTTCAATATAGATTCACAGTCTTCGTGATTCAGATTATCATCGATTGTAACGATCTGTACATCCACACCGTAAGATCGCCATAACTTTACTCTTGATTGCTGATAACCTGTTCTAATCCCGGTTTGTGATGTCAAAACCAGATTTTTTGCACCTCGGAGAGTCAACCAATCTGCTAGCTCTAAACCAAAACCGCCTAGTCCACCCAAAATAACGTAGCATTTATAATCTAGACAATGATATCGTGGATGAGCAAGTAGCGGAGCATCCAAAGGCTCTTCCTCTTTATGAACTCTTATTATTATCTACGAACAAGTAGTTAAGATACATTATTACTATAATGTAAAAAATTATAAATAACGAAGGTTTTATGTTTTATTTTATTATTGATATTGTTTCACATTTTATCATTAATTTCATTATTAATTTTAACATTACGTTGTATAATTTAATTTTACTATTACAAAAAATAACATTTATCTACAATATTTAGGAATAGGACTGGACAAAGCTATGTTTATGTATTCTTGAATAATAGTAAAAGTATAAATTATTATTATTTATTTATATTACAAAAAATCTCTTCGTTGAATGTAATTTAACCAAACCTACATTTGTTACTATCTGTATAGTGTATAGCTTTAATTATAGAAACAAAGAAATCTTTTTAATTTGATATGATAAAATATTCTGTATAATTACATATTTATATATAAATCATAATTACACACACTTATATATATATATATATATATATATATGTATATATATGTATATATATGTATATATATATATTAAGAAATAAGTGTACCTTGCCAATATGTTTTCCAGCAGCCATATATCTAAAGGCAGCTTCTATTTCATTTCTTTCAAAGACTCTTCTGCACAGCGGTTTAATTGCACCGTTTTTTAAACCTTCTGTTATTGTTTTCCACAACCTTGACTTTTGTTCTGCGTTTGAATAGAATAATTTATCTAATAAAATACCGTAAAAACTGACACCTTTAGAAAAGATAGATATATCCAAGGAATTATTGGACACCATATCAAATTTTCCAATTTCCAGAAAACGGCCACCATTTGCTAAACAGCGAACAGATGCTTGCAATTTCTCTTCGGCTAAGGAATTCAATACGATATCCACCCCACGACCTCCTGTACGCTGCATAATCATTTGTTCAAAGCTTGTATCTCGAGAGTTTCCGATATTATCTTCGGAGATAGAGGGAAACGTTTCTCTTATAAACTGCCGTTTCTCGACAGTTCCAACTGTCGTAAAAATTTCACAACCTTCGTGAAGCGCAAGATAAATGGCAGCTTGACCAACACCTCCAGTACCCGAATGGATCAAGATTTTGTCTCCTTTTTTCATTTTACCCTTTATGTATAAAGCATAGTAGCACGTGCTGTACACACATGGAATCGTCGCTGCGTCTTCCATTGTCCATTTGTCAGGTATAATCCAACTAAGATATTTATCAGCCACGACACTATTCGTCATTCCTCTATACATAAAAATTTTAGAAATGTGTTTATTTATCTAAACGTTAATTTAAAATGACGTACATATTACGTACTTTTGATTTGATATTAAATTTAAATTAATGCTACTTAAATTAAAATATTATTAGTATTAATTAATCATAATTATATAAAATAGAAGTTAATACTGCCAATGGCAAAAAGTTTTTTCTACTACATCTAATTTTTACCCATGTGAACATAATCCCATTATTCTCTGCCTATGCGAATTGAAACCAACAAATTCCAAGCCAATGAAACAATCGTTACCGAGTTCGAACGGTGCGATAGTTTCAGGGTTAAGTCTACCAGTGGTTACCATGATATCTCTAAAATTAATAGATGTATAAATTACATCAATGAGGTCTTTATGATTCATGCGAGACATTTTGCTCTGTGCCCAGCAGATAGTACTCAGATCTCCTTGTACCTGTTATGAATAAATATTAATTATTATTATTTCTTATAAAATTATTATTATAATATTTATAATAGAATATCTCGACGCACCATCTGTTTAACGTAAGCACTCGGTACGAGTTTTAGTTTCAACGATGGTAATGGAAAATGCCTGTAGGATCCCCAAACGTTACCGAAACGTAAAACATTGATAGGTAGATCCAACTGCAACTGTTTCATGTACAATGATTCTTGCAAAGAAAAACCGGGCGCTTTGTTATCTTGAATGAATACGCTTTTAATTATTTCGCCCCCTGGTTCTTTTCGCAAACAATTAATAAAACCGAGCAGTCCGCATTCGAAGTCTTCTTCCGAGACTAGTATTATCTCCGTATCTACACCAGTCTCGCTTTGCACACTCATGATTGACTTTAGTTCATTTACCCACGTAAACTCATAATTGTTCACATGTACAATCCGCTGGTTCTTCGCAATACGTCGCATTTTTCTTAGTAGTAAAAGCGTCTTTTCATTTATTTGTTTCTCCAGTATGACATCTAACTCATATGTTTTCAGATATGAATAATCGCAAACCGCACCAGATTTTTCCAGAGTTAGTATAAAACCTTGCGGCATTAATAAAGGCAATAACTGTTTATATAATTCCTTGCTATTTTTTGTCAAAATATCAAAACCAATGATCATCAAACAATTTTCGTTTTTTGATAACTTAGTAATCTCCGTGGTAGAAACATCGTTGGGCAAAGAGATATTTGGGAATATTTCGTGTGTCATCACGAGTTTGGTGTGATGTTGAATCTGCGGCAAATCATTTAAAATTTTACTAACAAGTGGAGAATTTAAATCTTCTGGTGCCACTTTATCACTATCATCGACAAATTCGATAATTTTAACATTTATCATATTGCAACACTCAAGTGCAATGTGCGTCGACATTTTTATTGCATCTTGTAACGACATAGTTTCTAAATCACGATGAGCAACAAATTTGTATTCTTCAAGAACGGCCTTGACTGCTTTTTGTCGGCGAAGTATAGGTGTAGCCACAATGCCACAAATTTCTATTCCTCCAGATATTATAACGTTTAAAGATTTGTAATGACGAACAGAGAATTCTGCAATTTAGCAAAAGAAATTGATTTGTCAGGCAATTGGCCGCATTGTGTATTACTTAGGCTAACGGCAGAGAACGAAACATAATAGCCGGTCACGACTTACGATTTTTTCTGCCTTACTTTACGTCCACGACTACGACAAACGTCTCGTCATCAGTTTTAATTTACTTACGTCTATCTTCAATTGGGTAATCCTGAATTAGCTGTATGTGATATTTCGGATCGATAGTCAGTTTGCGAATTCTTGTTGGAACCAAAAGATTTCTTGAATTCTGTCCTAATATCATCATCTGTAACATACTGTCCATAAATGCCACCCAATTAGATGTCCATGCGATATGGCCGTTTGATCCCGAAACCGATGCACTTTGTAATCCACGAAATACACCGGTGTATTGATAACCACGAAGCCTTAATTCCTTGTAGATGTCTTTTGTATTCATTTCTTCTTCATCATCGACACATTCAGCAAGATTAGCAGAAATTTTTTCATTTTCAACATTAGTTGGAATTTGTAATATTCCAGTAACCACAGCGTTATCTCCTTCGGTTATTTCAAACCTGTTGGTACCTTGATATAGATATAAATTTTTTAAATATAAAATGTTATAATAAATTAAATAAATGAAAATATATCAATATGAAGTTTAGAATCTTACAAAAGCAATTGATTTGTAAAAGGAAAGATACCTGTGTTTGATTTAATTATTCTCATCCGTATATTTTTTTTTATTTTACTTTAATTATAGCATATAGAAATATCGCATCATAAAAGTGGCTTAAATCTTAAAATCTAATACTCGCATGAGAAAATTAACTGTTTATGTGATAATATTACCTTCTTGAATCAAAAAAGTTAATTCAATCTCATTTTGTTGTGATAGTACTGTAGCACGAATAAAATTAACGTCTTCAAATACGATTGGTACATTGGTACACTCTTGTTTATTCAACGATGCCATCATCTCCCAGAGACAAAAAAGATATCCCATAGCCGGAAATAAAATTTTGTTATCTACGACATGGCCCATTAAATATATGAATGCCTCATCAGCTACATCAATATTGATAACCATTTTTCTATTGAAAATTACTTTTTGATGAATATATTGAAACACGTAGAAGTCTTCGGAATGATTCCATCTACAAACATTATTACGTAAAATGCACTTATAAAATACAGTTGTTTATTTATTACCAAAATTACGTGAAATTTACTGAGATCCTAATATTTCTTAAATTCTCCTTTGCTTTTTATAAATATGATACATTATGTGAGTATATTTATTGTTAGGATAAGTAAAATGAGATCATTTGGATAGAATTGCTCAAAAGAGACCGCCCTTCGATGATCTTAACTGATCATATATATTGTCAAGATCTTAATCCCAATCGTAACATTTTAAAAAGTTACTTTCTAAAATTCGAAAAGTGAAATATCTCTCAAACGAGTGAAATAGAAGTATAAGTGTAACGAAAAGTAAACATTGAGCCTGTGCATTACGAGTGATTCGCCACTCTAAGAAAGAGTAAAATTGCGCTATGTAAGTTGGAGTGAAATCGCACTCTATTTTAGTGAAAGGCACTCTTTTCGAGTGCAGTAGATCATTATCCATAGGAGTGAATTATGTCTACAATTTTAAGTGGGAAATTTCACTCTGTTAGAAACATTTATCAGTCAATCTTTAGTGAAATGTGATTTACTATAGCTTTAGAGAAAGAGAGAGATTGTACTCTGGTAGAATAGTCGTTCTAGAAATTTGAGTGAAAAATTCATCTTATGAGTGCCCGCATTTACTCAAATTAGAGTGACAACTTTCTCTTTTAGAGTGACTATCGCAATAACTCTAACATATTAGAGGCGAAACCACTTTATAAGATTTAGAGAGTAAAATCGCCGAATAAAGCTGACACTTATACAGAAAAAAAGAATGTTCTTGATTTGAAAATATCTTTAGTTTTAACGTGGAAATCTTGAAATGAGATTATATTGCGTCAAACTTACTTGAAGAATACTTGCTTAAATAAAGTCATTATATAGTGCAACCAAGAAAAAAATGTTGAAATAAAAAGTTGAAATTTTTATAATTCTTGTAAGTTTCATATATATATATATATATATATAAGCAAAATTTCCTTATAAGAATTTCAACTTTTTATTTTAACATTTTTTTTCGGTTGCACTATATAATGACTTCATTCAAGCAAGTTTTCTTCAAGCAAGTATTCTTCAAATAAGTTTAACGCAATATATATAATCTCATTTCAAAATTTCCACGTTGAAACTAAAGACATTTTCAAATCAAGAATATTCTTTTTCTCTGTGTATTATTTATTAACAAATTAGTAATAAAATGAGTTTTATAAGTAAAACGTAATTTTCCAATAATTCCGCAATTCTACATAGGTTTTCAACTTTTTACGCACTGCGGAATTTATTCCATATTATTTGATTGCAACGCGAAACGAGAATTATTATTGTACAATTTCACATAGGTTTTCAACTTTTCACCTGAAGCACTAACAAGGGAACCTCGCGAAGTGGAAAATTCTGATTTTAATGAAACTTTCCACATATGTAGGGGGAGTAAAAAGATGAATTTAGATATTTTTTGTAGCAGCCCAAAAACGGTTTTAAAGGGTAAAATCACTTCTCATATGTAGAGCGGTTTTTTGCTTTCCTCGATATATTTCGAAAAGTATTTGAGATATCAAAAAATGTTTCAAATAAAAGTTTTATGGTAAAATCTCCTCTATTCAACAACATTAATATAATATTTTTTAAAAATAATTTTTTAAACAAAAATTTTTTTTTTCAAAATTTTATTAATGTGGTTAAATAGAGATGTTTTTACCATAAAACTTTTAAAAACAAATAAAGTACTTTTACTTCGCCAGTGAGTGATAAGATTAACAAACTCCTTTGCTTCGACCAAACTGGCTATTTTTATTTAATTAGCACAACGCATTTCGACCAGGATTCCGGTCCTTTTCCTTGTGTATTCAGTTCGTAGACTCATTGCTGTCACTTTGATTTAATGGAGTATTTTGCAAGCGGTTAATATTGTACTCACTTGAAAAGGACCAGAATCTTGGTCGAAACGCGTTGTGCTAATTAAATAAAAATAGCCAGTTTGGTCGAAGCAAATTAAGGAGTTTGTTAATCATAAAACTTTTATTTGAAACATTTTTTTATATTTCGAATACTTTTCGAAATATATCGAGGAAAGCAAAAAGCCGCTTTACATATGAGGGGTGGTTTCACCCCTTAAAACCGTTTTTGGGCCGCTACAAAAAATATCTAAATTCATCTTTTTACCCCGCCTACATGTGTGGAAAGTTTCATTAAAATCAGAATTTTCCACTTCGCGAGGTTCCCTTGTAAGTCTATTTTTGTATAGCTAAACTAAAAATATACGCTTTCTGCATTTAAAATAAAATATATATAGGTATAATGTTTAAAATTTGGCGAAGGTAAGAAGTAAAGTTCTAATGCACTCACAGTTCAGTGCAGCAATAAAAAACAAATTTTTTATCTACATTATTCGAAAAAAAAACCAGAAATGTAATTCAATATTATGTTGTTTGTTAAATATAATTTTTTAATAAATTCACTTTAATGCTTTAAAGTAAAGCTTATGAAAGTTTTTGTCATTCGGATATTTTTCATTTGTACATAAACGCAAAATATGGATACCTTATGAGAGGAGAAATCATTGAGGTACCGCGGCTTACAGGAAGTTTTTCTATCGGATAAAGATTTGCAATCTGTGGCTGCAATCCTGCATTATAAAGTTTTCCGATTGATTCTAAAAATATCTCACCACTATGATTCTCGGT